AAAAAAAAAAAAAGTTTTTTTGAGTTGTGTTTATAGTTAATTCACTTTAAAGTTAATCTTATTATTCATTATTTTTATTTGCTTATTTATTTTTTGAGACAGGGTCTTGCCCTATTGCTCAGGCTGGAGCATGGTAGCATGATCTTGGCTCACTGCAGCCTCCACCTCCCCGTTTAAGTGATCCTCCCACATCACCCTCCCAAGTAGCTGAAGCTACAGGAGCGTGCCACCATGCCTGGCTAATTTTTGTACTTTTTGTAGAGATGGGGTTTCGCCATGTTGTCCAGGCTGGTCTTGAACTCCTGAGCTCAGGTGATCCCCCCACCTCAGCCTCCCAAAATGCTCGGATTACAGGCATGAGCGACTGCACCTGGCTGAAAGTTCGTCTTTTAAAGTGTGATAAAAAACTGTAAACATGATTAGATCAGTGGTGTTAATAAATCTCTTCATAAGTTTAGCTATGACATCAGAGATCTTTTTGTTCTGGCACTCATTTGTAAAGAGGAACTTAAAACAGTCGCTGCTTCTCGGCTTAAAAAACCTTTATACCGGCCAGGCATGGTGGCTCACACCTGTAATCCCAGCACTTTGGGAGGCTGAGGCGGGAGGATCACCTGAGGTCAGGAGTTCGAGACTAGCCTGACCAACATGGAGAAACCCCTGCTCTACTAAAAATAAACTAGCCAGGCATGGTGGCATATGCCTGTAATCCCAGCTATTCGGGAGGCTGAGGCAAGAGAATCACTTGAACCTGGAGGGCGGAGGTTGCGGTGAGCCGAGATCATGCCATTGCATTCCAGACTGGGCAACAAGAGCGAAACTCCATCTAAAAACAAACAAAAAAAAACTTTTATACCTCTGAATGTTTCTAAATATAAATGGCCTAATATTTAGAGTATATTTAAAAGGTGGTATAAGTTTGGTTTGTGAATATAGAGACTGTCCTATAATCTACAGGCAAATAATTACTTAAGTATTTAGAAAGTAACTTAAAGTTTTATATCTAAGACCACAGAAATTTATTTTACCTTCTCCAAGTTAATGTAAATTTGATCTTTCTTCCTTTCATCCCTCTGATCCTCAGTTTGCAAATTCCTCTCTGCCCGTGACTTTGGGGAACGATGGGGAAACTACTGTAAGATGTGCAGCTATTGTTCACAGACATCCCCGAATTTGGTAGAAAATCGATTGGAGGGCAAGTTAGAAGAGTTTTGTTGTGAAGATTGTATGTCTAAATTTACAGTTCTGTTTTATCAGGTAAATGTGATGATACACTTTTTTTGCCTTCCTGAAATTAGTGCCAATTGTTTTCTATTTAAAATACGTTCAGATACTGTGAAGAAGAATTTGGTGTTTAGAGCTGGATAAAATAAGTTATGGGCTATAATAGAAACATTCAATTGAATATAAACATGAAGTCTTTGGGATAAAAGGAGTATAGGATTTCTGTAGACTTTGTTGTTGATTGGATAAGTTCCTTTTATTTTTGTCTTCTTATAAGCCACATTGTCCTTATTCGACTTCTTTCAGGTTAGAATTTCATATAATGTTGCCTGAAGTGGCTCTCTCATTCAGGCTACTCTGAGGAATTTGAAGTCAGACCTCGTCTCACTTCCTAGGCTGAAGGACAATAACTGGCAATCATTACGACCTCCTTTTAAAAAAGATTAACTTTTTGAAAGGCTAACTGGTAGCTATAGTTAATTGAACCACTAATACATGTCTTCTGCTCCACAAGTGTTATTTTATTTAATCCTTTCCATAGTCCCAAGAGGTAAGTATATTATTGCCATTTTATAAATAAGGAAAAGGAGAGAGGTCCAGGGATGTCAAGTAATATGCTCTTCGGGAAGCTGGTAGGTGACAGCAAGACAGCATCTATAACTCTGGTGAAATCACTGTGTGCTTGTCTACTTCACCCCCAAAATAGAATTTTATTGTCACGGGAGGGTAATATATTTTTCATGATTGTATAATTAGGACCAGTCACAGTGTTTAAGACAAAGGATGTCTAATTAAATATTTGCTGAATGAATAGAAATCTTTGACTCCAAAGCCCATATTATGTCAACTGCTGTAAGCTGCTGCTTAATTTTTTTTAAGTTGAACCTATATATTTTTTTAACTTTTTTCTTCATCGTGTATCTTTTCTTCCCACCCCTCTCCACATCGCCCTCTCCAGACAGAATCTTGCTCTGTTGCCTAGGTTGGGGCGAGATCTTGGCTCCCTGTAGCTTCCGCCTCCTGGGTTCAAGCGATTCTCCTGCCTCAGCCTCTGGGTAACTGGGCCTAGAGGCGTGCACCACCATGCCTGGTTATGAACCTGTCTTTAGATTCCTTTATTGGTAATTTTGAAAACAGAAGAGCAATTTTTTTTTTTTTTTTTTGAGACCGAGTCTTGCTCTGTTGCCCAGGCTGGAGTGCAGTGGCACGATCTCAGCTCACTGCAACCTCTGCCTCCCAGATTCAAGTGATTCTCCTGCCTCAGCCTCCTGATTAGCTGGGATTGCAGGCATGCACCACCACCCCTGGCTAATTTTTGTATTTTTAGTAGAGACAGGTTTCACCATGCTGGTTAAGCTGGTCTCAAACTCCTGACCTAGTGATTTGCCTGCCTTGGCCTCCCAAAGGGTTGGGATTACAGGCCACAGTTTTTATGTTATCTTGATTTAGGGCATCTATATGAGACAAATAATTAAATGTATATTTTAAAAATCAGTATTTTAAGGTAAGAACTTTACATTTTGTAGTCTCAACTGACTCATGTATCCTGTTTTTATAGTGCCTTTTTTCATGATCGTTATCTTTTCGTTATTTTATGGTTTTAAGCCTTTCTTGTCTAACGTTTGTTTCTCAGATGGCCAAGTGTGATGGTTGCAAACGACAGGGTAAACTAAGCGAGTCCATAAAGTGGCGAGGCAACATCAAACATTTCTGTAACCTATTTTGTGTTTTGGAGTTTTGTCATCAGCAAATTATGAATGACACTCTTCCACAAAATAAAGGTAAAATTAAACTTAGCTGATGGGATCTTTATGTCAGTTGTAGGATACTATCAGCACACACAGTTGTAAACAATATAATAAAAACAAAATTTCACTGGCTTCAAATAGCCTGAATTTCCTTAAAATTTTCTTTAAGAAGTCTTTAAGATTTCTCCTTGAGGGAAAATTAATTCTAGTGCTTTTTGCTCTGATAGTGAAGCACACCAAAAGACAATAATGTATATGCACTAATTTTTATAGGAAAATTAGATTTGATTGAGTTTGATTGAATGTGTCTGTACATAACTTAAACTAGGGATATATACTATTTAGCTAATAAAGTAGAAATAAAAATAGAAAATCAGGGCAAAGGGAGATCATAGTTAATATAGTTGCTGTGACTGGTGTAAAATTTGATTCAGAGTTTGCTTATGGGCAAGGAGAAAAGAACAACACATTAATTATCTCAGAAAATATAAAATAGACCAGTTCTTCATGGGTAGCAAAGTTTATCTTGGCTAAGAATAAAATAATTTTGCAAGTAGGACGGCTAATGTGGTCAGATTATCCAGGTGAGTAGATAGATCCGTGGTGTATTCATAAAGTAGCTCTCCTAAATATTTCTTTCTTAGTATTAGATTAAAAACATTTGGTAGCCAGGCGTGGTAACTCACACCTGTAATCCCAGCACTTTGGGAGGCTGAGACGTGCAAATTACTTGAGGCCAGGAGTTCGAGACCAGCCTGGTAAACATAGTGAAACCCCATCTCTACTAAAAATACAAAAAATTAGTCAGATGTGGTGGTGCATGCCTGTAATCTCAGCTACTCAGCAGGCTGAGGCATGAGAATTACTAGAACCTGAGAGAGAGAGGTCGCAGTGTGCTGAGATGATACCATGGCAGCCTGGGTGACCGACTGATATTGTCTCTCTCATAGAAAAAAAAACAGTTGGCATTATGTTCTCTGATTAAAGCCTGTGGTGCTACCTACTTGACAGAGCTTTGGCTCCTTGCAGGCTGGCCATTGCCTACCTTTGCAGTCTTATTAATGTTTACCTTAATTATAAATGCCTTGTGCTAATCTTTTGTGTTAGTCCTCCATTCCCCCAAACCAGTCAGGTTGCTGGTAGAATATTCGTTTTATGTGTTGAGAAAACCACTGTTATGGGGTTGGATGGCTCCCTCATTAATTTATTTATAAAAGCTTTCAGGTTAAGTTTTTATTTGATGCAAACTTAGGTCTAGAAGTTCTAATAGTCACTAATAAAACAGCCCAGTGAATCCTGAAGCTAATACCTGTTTTTTTGTTTTGAGACTAAGTTTTGCTATGTTGCCCAGGTTGGTCTTGAACTCCTGGCTCAAGTGATCCTCCTGCCTCAGCCTCCCAAGTAGCTGGGATTACAGGCTGGTGCCACTGTATCCAACACCTGTGTTTTCACCTGATAAATGTCATTCGAGGTTTATAATTTTATAGAATGGGACTCTGTTTAAATCCTAATGAACACTAATCTGAACAGAATTACCCAACCTAACATTATACAGAATCAGATATTTGCATTGCTTCTTGAACACCTAGTTGTTAAACAGGGTTTTGCGTGTGTATGTAAGTTGAGTGTGTGTGAGAGAGAGACCCTTTTGCTTATTCCAGGTCTTAACTTTTTGTTTTAATCAGTAAATATTTCTAAGGCGAAAACTGCTGTGATGGAGCTCCCTTCCACGAGGACAAATACGACACCAGTTATAACCAGTGTGGTGTCATTGGCACAAATACCTGCTGCCTCATCTACAGGAAACAGTGTTTTAAAAGGTGTGACTTGATATAATGGCATTTGGCTAAGCCATAGAAGTGAGTGTTGTCTAGCCTAAGTTCTTTTTTTTGAGATGGAGTTTTGCTGCTGTTGCCCAGGCTGGAGTGCAATGGCGAGATCTCAGCTCACTGCAACCACTGCCTCCTGGGTTCAAGCGATTCTCTTGCCTCAGCCTCCCAAGTACCTGGATTACAGGTGCCTAGTACCACACCCAGCTAATTTTGGTATTTTTAGTAGAGATGGGGTTTCACCATGTTGGCCAGTCTGGTCTCAAACTCCTGACCTCAGGTGATCCATCTGCTTCAGCCTCCCAAAGTGCTGGGACTATAGGTGTGGGCCACTGCGCCTGGCCAATAGTTCTTATTAGTAATATCTTTCCTTACCTGATGTAGGGGAGCATCCCTCCCCCGCCCCTCAACAGGGAAGTAGGTAGCAAGCAAGGTGGTGTGGGTGGGAAAGGAAGTGTTTTGTTTTTTTCAATTGTTAATTTTTTTTTTTTCTTTTTTGAGACGGAGTCTCACTCTGTCGCCCAGGCTGGAATGCAGTGGCGCAATCTCGGCTCACTGCAACCTCTGCCTCCCGGGTTCAGGCGGTTCTCCTGCCTCAGCCTCTTGAGTAGCTGGGTTTACAGGTGCCTGCCACCACACTCAGCTGATTTTATATTTTTGGTAGAGATGGGGTTTCACCATGTTGGCCAGGCTGGTCTAGAACTCCTGGCCTCAAGTGATCCTCCTGCCTTGGCCTCCTAAAGTGCTGGTATTATAGGCCACCACGCCTGTATAATTTTTTTTCTTTTAATCAGGCAGCCTCTTGAGCCAGAGTAGGCTCAGAAACATTCCCCTGGAAGTGGTATTTTTTTAAGAGCCCAGATGATTTAAATATCCTACTCCTTTACTGCCAGAAATTCTAATACAGTTGGATTGGGTTGGGGCTCAGGAATCCTTACCTTTACTAAGCACCCTGGGTGATACTGATGCAGAGTTTCCTTGTACCATTTTTCTGAGAAATTCTGGTTTAGTCTCTAGCTCAGCTTAATTGGAAGAAAGTAACTTCTTGGTTTCCGTGTTTACTTCTGTATATTCTAAGAATAATAATGTTTATTTTAATTTACAACAGGTGCAGTTACCAAAGAGGCAGCAAAGATCATTAAAGATGTGAGTTTGATTGTTAATACTTTTCTTGATAATGCCACTTGGGCTTATTTTCACTTTGGATATAGCATTCTAATATCTGAATACTTTTCTGTTTGCTGGAAGACGGTCCTAGTCATCAATCTGGATCTTGAGCACAAGTAACAGTATAGTGACTAGCATAAGCTTTTGATCATATTTCAGCAGCAATTACTATTTTTGAAAATGATGTAAATGTGGATTGCTATTCATAGTGGCAAGCTTAGTCTTTAAAAAAGTGTAGTAATATATTGTGCGCTTTTGTTTTGAATCTTACAGTTTAATCTTAGATCATTAGTAAGAATGCGTTCCTGATTTATTATTTGTACTCAGGTTCTTTAATTTATTTAAATTCTTGTTAATTCCACCTGGTTGGAAATAACAAGACTACATTATTTTTCTCTTATACTGTATTCAAGTATTTTCCTTTTAGAAGTTTCGAAAGTTCAGTATAGTCCTGTTTTATGCAACTTTGAATTATGTGAGTCTGAAAATAGTGCAAAGTAAAAATATATTTAGACTTCCAGTTTATGTCTCAAATTTGAAATATTGTGAGACTTCTCAAAATTAAAAGAAATGTTCAAGAAATGCATAATTTCAAGTCTGGCAGCCTGATTGCAAATTATGGCATTGTCCTGTATCAGCATCACTTTAGCAGGAAAACAAAATTTCCATCATCCTTCATCAGTGTCACATGGTACTCTATCGGGTCTTGGGTTAATGTTTTTGGTGACTGTTATGTTATGTGTTTTATTTTTTTCTTTTGAGACAAGTTCTTGCTCTGTTGCCCAGGCTGGAGTGCAGTGGCATGATCATAGCTCACTGCAACTCCTGGGCTCATGTGATCGCTTACCTCAACCTCCTGAGGAGCTAGGACCACAGGTGTCTACCACCATGCCCAGCTTATTTTGTTTTTTTCTTTTATTGAGACAGGGTCTTGGTCTTGTGATATTGCCCAGGCTAGTCTCAAACTCCTGGTCTCAAGTGATCCTCTTGCCTCAGCCTCCCAAGCTGTTGTGATTCCAGGCGTGAGCTGATGGCACCCAGCTTGTGCTGCTGTCTTAACATTTGCTCTTGATATAATTAAAACTTTTTCATATTGTAGAACAGTGTCATTTAAGTGTTATATTAAGTGGTGGTGCTAGTGCTTAAAAATGTCCCCCAAATTTAATAACTTTAGAACAAAAGTTAGATGTGGTATAAGGAGACCAGGCACGGTGGCTTGCGCCTGTAATCCCTGCACTTTGGGAGGCCGAGGCACGTAGATCATGAGGTTAGCATTCAAGACCAACCTGGCCAAGTTGGGGAAACCCTGTCTCTATTAAAAAANGGAAGGAAGGAAGGAAGGAAGGAAGGAAGGAAGGAAGGAAGGAAGGAAGGAAGGATCCTGACCATGGGGAAAGGGCCATTTGGGATTCTGGAATGGATGTCTGTGGCAGTTTACAGAATCGCATTCTGGTGAACTTTAAAAATGGAACAGTAACCGGGCACAGTGGCTCATGCCTGTAATTCCAGCACTTTGGGAGGCCAAGGCAGTCAGATCACTTGAAGTCAGGAACTCAAGACCAGCCTGGCCAAGATGTTGAAACCCATCTCTACTAAAAATACAAAAATTAACTGGATGTGGTGGCAGGCACCTGTAATCCCCGCTACTCAGCAGGCTGAATCAAGAGAATCACTTGAGCCTGGCGGGTGGAGTTTGCAGTGAGCCGAGATTATGCCACTGCACTCCAGCCTGGGTGATAGAGTGAGACTCCACAAAAAAAAAAAAAAAAAAAAAATCTATGAAGATGCTCAAACCACTGCTGTGTTATCTCATGCTGTTAATTTAGGAGAGTGTGTCCTGCAGAATATTTGCAGTAGTGCTCAAAAAATCAAAAGCAGTATTAAAGCAGGTATGCCACTTAGTTCACAAAAATTATAAGCAGGCAATGAGAATGGAATAAATGGAAAAAAAATCCTCGCAATACAAGTTGCAAGATCAATGCTGCCATTATGTACCCCTGAGGGCAATCTATCATTTGTGCTAAGGTGTGAGTATTTTGATTTTGATTTGAAAAGAGGTGACAGTGAGACAAAAGATTTACTACAAATCATGGCTGGCTGTCTGATTTTAAAGCCCACCAAGATTTTAGGAATATAAAAATGAGCTGGCAAGCTGTATCTGCTAACTCCAAGGCTATCATTTCAGCTTTACCATAATTTAAAGAGGCTTTAACTTGGAAGACAACATAACACCTGCTAATAAAGAATCTGTGAAAGTAGAACAGAAGGTAGATTTGCACAGAGCTCATGAAGGGGATATTGAATATTTGCTTGGGTTGTCCCCCATGGATTAATAAAGGAAGTCTTGCTAGAATTAGAAAAACAAAGGCAGCTCTGGAAGAGGGTCCTAGCAATCAGTCTGGGCCTTGGGCACAACTAACAGTAAAGTGACTACCATAGGCTTTTGACTATATTTCAGCAGCACTATTTTTGAAGGTGATCTAAATGTGGATTGCTGTTTGTGGTGGCAAGGCTAAAATGTGTCTGCATATTAAGAAATCCTCAGTGAAAAAAAAAAATGAAAGAAAAAAACAAACTAAATTAGATTCATTCTTTAGCAAAAGTCTTCCACAGAATCAGACCAGCCTTCATTGTAATCTGGAGAGATAACTTGTCCTAATTTAGTGTCTCTTAACTCTCTCATTTTTTGTGTTATTGGAAGGTGATCATAATTTCTCCTTAATTATTTTCAAGCAGTATACCACATGAGATAATGAACTGTCATTAAGTTAACTTGGTATTTACTTGTATATTATGTATTGTGCATTAAATTATATTTTTAAATTACATAATAAATCACTGTGTTGTACATTATTAATAACCACACAATTGTATAATCAAGGTATTAATATATTCTTACATAATAAGTATTAACATGTATTCATAAAAACATTCTATATTAGTTATAGATTTATATACTTTGAGAATGCGTCTTTCCTCTGCATGTATGAGATAATTAGTCTTGAATTATATTAGTTTTGAATTATTTAGTCTTTTAGGAAAATACACCTCCTATTTCATGTAGCTGCCCTATATATGTTTTCCCTATGTGGAATATTTCTATAATTCACCAGTTAAACTGTGTTACAGAATAGTTCTGATTAATATTTTTACTTTAGTCTATAAAAAGTATAATAATAAATAATGTAACACTCTTATGACATGAAAAAAAAAAAAAACCTGACAGTTTTAGAATCTTTTCTTGGTTTCTCTGAGGACTTTGTTGTGAATCTCCCTCAAGTTACTTAAATGGTTTTAAATTTTTGGGAAAGGTGAAAAATATAGAAAAGTACAAAGAAGAAAATCTGTAAAACTCAGCAAACTTTTTCTATAAAAGTCTAGATAGTAAATATTTTAGACTTTGCAGGCTTTATGGTTGTAACTGTAGACTCTGTCTCCTCTGTTATTGTAGTGCAGAAGCCGCCATAGATAATACATTAAAGAGTGAGCGTGGCTGTGTTCCAGTAAATTTTTTTTTTTTTTTTGAGACAGAGTCTCACTCTGTTGCCCAGGCTGGAGTGCAGTGGTGTGATCTTGGCTCACTGAAACCTCTGCCTCCCAGGTACAAGCAGTTCTGTGCCTCAGCCTCCCCAGTAGCGGGGATTACAGATGCCCACCACAATGCCCAGTTAATTTTTGTATTTTTAGCAGAGACGGGGTTTCACCATCTTGGCCAAGCTGGTCTTGAATTCCTGATCCCATGATCTACCTACCTTAGCTTCCCAAAGTGCTGGGATAACAGGTGTGGCCCACCGCACCTGGGCTCCAATAAAATTTTATTTACAAAAACAGATGGTGGGCTGAACATGGTACACAGGCCGTAGTTTGCCAACCACCACTCTATGATATTCCCACCATCCAGAATTAACCATTGTTAGATTTGGTTTATTTGCTCAGTTTCTTCCCCTACCTTTTTCTTCTTTTTTAAAAAATTAATCACTACTATCAGTTAGTCTCCCTTTACATCCCTGGAAGCAACTACTATTATGAGTTTAATGTGTGTTCTTTTAGACCATCTTGTAATCTTTCATAGGTATAGATCCATGGAAAATATTTAATATTGTTTTAAAAAAAATCTATCCATGTTGATACTGAGTAGGTTTGGTACATTCCTGTTGATTATAGTAATGTTTTGCCTATAGGTACCACTTTTTATTTATTCGTTGTCCTATGGATGAACGTTAGATTGTTTCCAGGTTTTCACTATTAAAAATCTCTGTGGCTGGTCACAGTGGCTCATATCTGTAATCCCAGAACTTTGGGAGGCCAAGATGGGCAGATCTCGAGCTCAGGCATTTGAGACTAGCCTGGACAACATGGCAAAACCCCATGTCTACTGAAAATACAAAAAATTAGCTATGTGTGGTGGCAAGTGCCTCTAGTCCCAGCTATTGGGAAGCTAAGATGGGAGAATCACCTGAATCTGGGAGTTCAAGGCTGTAGTGAGCCTTGATTGCACCACTGCACTTTGGCCTGGGTGACAGAGTGAGACTCTGTCTCAAAAAAGAAAAAGAAAAAAAAAGTCTTTGGGGCTCGGTGTGGTGGCTCACATCGGTAATCCCAGTGATTTGGGAGGCCAGGGATCACTTGAGCCCTGGAGTTTGAGACCAGCCTCGGCAACATGATGAAACCTCATCTCTATTAAAAAATACCAAAAAATTAGTTGGGTATAGTGGCACAAGCCTGTAGTTCCAGCTACTCAAGAGGCTGAGGTGGGAGGGTTGCTTGAGCCTAGGAGGTAGGTTGACGCCGCAGTGAGCTGAGATCACACCACTGCACTCCAGCCTGGGTGACAGGGTGAGACCTTGTCTCAAAATAAATGAGTAAATAAAAACGACTGCTACAGTGAATATCCTTGTATATGTCTCCTTCTGTGTGTGCAGATGTGTAGAAATGGGAGAGTAGAATTGTTGGGTCAAAGAGCATTTTCATTTTTAGGG